ACTTTTCAGCACATAGGTCTTTTACATTCTTCCTTATGTTGATTCCAGATATTTCGTTTTTAGATGCTATTTTGAAAGGTGATATTTTCAAAATTTCTCTCTCTGAGTTTTTTGTTTGTGTGCAGAAATGATACTGATTTTTGAGTGTTTACTTTGTATGCAGCTATATTGCTGAAATTATTTATTACCTCTAGTAGTCTTTTAATTGAGGTCTTTGGGTCTTCTATGTAGAGTATCATGTTTTCTGCAAATAGTGATAATTTAACTTCTTCACTTCCTATCTATATTCCTTTTAGTTTCTCTCAATTGTGTGATGGTCCTGACTAGTATTTCCATTACTATTTTGAATAGGAGTGGTGACAATGGACAGCCTTGTCTTTTTCCTATTTTTAGAGTAAAAGCTTTCAGTTTTTCTCCATTTAGAATAATGTTGGCTGCTGGTTTTTCATAGATGGCCTTTTTCAGATTGATGAAGACACAATCTCTTCTGAGTTTCTGGTTTTTTTAAATCATGAACAAGTGTTGGAATTATTGAAAGGTTTTTCTGCATCTATTGAGATAATCATTTAATTTTGTTTTTGGCTCTGTTGATGTGGTGTATTACATTTATTGACTCGCATGTGTTAAACCATCCCTGCATTCCTAGGACAAAACCCTCTTGGTCAGGATGTATACTCTTCTTGATGATTTGCTTCATTCTATTTGCCCTGTGTTTTATTGAGAATCGTTGCATCAATGTTCATTAGAGAGACTTGACTATAGTTCTTTTTGGTTGACTCTTTCTCTAGTTTTGGTGTCAGAGTAATAATTTCCTCCCAGATTTAGGTAGTGAGGATTGCTTCCCTTTCAATTTTATTAAAGCATTTGAGGATTTTTAGCCTTAAATCTTCTCTAAATTTCTTGTAGAATTGAGCCATGAATCAATCAGGGCATAGACTTTTTTGTTGGTAAGTTTTTAATCACATTTTCAAATTCAAAAGTGGATATTGGGTTATTGAAATCTTGATTGAGCTTTTTTAGTTCATTTGTTTCTTTAAACCATCCCATTTCCTCTGTATTTTCAATCCTATATGAGTAAAGATTTTCAAAGTAGGTATTCATGATCTTTTCCATGGAAGACCCGAAGGCCTCTAATTCAGAAGCAAAGTTACCATACTGGTGCAAACCTGATGAGGTCCTCTTTTTGATTACTGAGCCTCTCATTAACTCAGCAAGGCTAATCCACTGATGTCCAAAGTTCTGGGAGGCGGAAATGCAGCTAAAGGTCAACAGCCACCCTAGGATCAGAAGGTGTTCTCAAAGGTGGGAGGACAGGCACAAAGGTGACTGCTCTCCGAGATGTAGTTCCAGGGTCTGAGGGTGGGAGGACAGGCACAGAGGTGACCATTCTCCGAAATGTAGGTCCAGGTTCTCAGGGTGGGATGACAGGCACAAAAGTGTTCGGGGTCTGAGGTGGAGATCTGAGGTCTGAGGATATGAGGGCAGGTGCAGAAGTGACTGCCCTCTAAGGCAGAGTTCCAAAGTGGAGGTCAAATTTCTGAGGTCCGAGTTCTGAGGTCCAAGAAGCCTCTGCTCTCAGTGGTTCAAGTCCATGGTCCAATTGCTTGGCTTTTATTCTCACTGCTGCTTTGGAATTTTCCAAACCACTAGTTCTGCCTGCTCATCACTTGCACCCCAGAGAAATCCTTGCTGTATCATGAAAAAGGAAGATGAGGTGAACTTATACCCTGAGACCTTCTTGTCAAAATGCTTAGATAATCCAAAAACTCAACAATAGAAGAGAAATATAGATGATGATACATTCATGTGACAATGTAAAAGTGGTGTTTTAGAAGGCTATTTAAAGGCCTGGAGAAATTTGTAACCTTTCATGTTGGGAGGAAAATGTACACTGCAATACAATGTGTATAACTTCATAGTGTGTGTGTGTGTGTGTGTGTATTGTGTGTGTGTGTGTGTGTCGGGTGAATGGGAAACATATACAGGAATTTGTGTCTCATTTTAACCTTTACATTATCTAAATTTTCTAAAATGGGAATGCATTCACTTCATAAGAAAAAAAGGAGGGCCCATCATCTTTATAAATGACAAATACTATGGACCATTGTGACAGAGAAAAGCTAGAAGCTTAGAAAAATCATTTCCTTTTCTTCCAAGGGGCACAGGTAAACTACATGCCTACAGTGTCCAAACTCTCTCAGGCAGGTGCAGCCCTGTCAGGCCTCCTTTGAGGTTGGGTGTGTTGTGAGACACTTGAGGTCATGGCTGCCAGTAGAAAGGATACAGGTACCTTCCAGACTTTAACTATGGCATTCTCCCATGGCAGATCTTACAGACTCACCTCAACCCAACAAGCCCTGTAGCAGATAAATTGGGAAACTTGGAAACCATCTTTTGGGGAACTGAGCCTCCATCCCTTAATCATGGATTACTGTGTAATTTATTGCATAAAGCAGAATAATTGAGAGTGAAAGGGGAAATCTCATCAGAAACACTCATTTTAGAATATGGGGGAACATTATAAATTAGTGGTTTAAATTTCATCTGTAAACATTGATCGCTGACAGAATGTAGCAGTATATTAACATGTATCATCTTACTTAATGCATTTTTTGACAAAGTATTTTTAAGAAGTTTAATAATTATAAAGTTAGCAATATAGGATAAATTCAAAGATAAAGAAGAGACAAGTTAATCCCACCGTGCAACTTATCACTATGAACAGAGATACACCTATCTTTTTATTATTGCATGTATTATCTTGCATGGGCACATGCATGTAGAATACTTTGAATATTTCCCTCCTCCACTAAATCCCCTTCCCCTCGTCCATTTTCTTCTTTAATCATCTCTCCTCTACTTTCATGTCATCTTATTTGTTTTACACATTTAAGACATTTATATTTGTCATTCTGACTTTGACTTATTTTCCTTAACATGATGCTCTCCAGTTTCAGGAAATCATTTCTAATGGCATGTACCTCAGTGATACTCCAGTATATATATATATATATATATATATATATATATATGCCACATTGTGTTTATCCATTAATCTGCAGATGAGGTCCAAGGCTATTTCTCTGGCTTAGCTCTTGTGAATTGCATTGAAATAAGCATAAGTGCACAAGTACATCTAGAGTACGCTCGACCTATATTATCTTTACACTATATTATACTTTTCTTTTTGGATGAGCTACAATATGTATTTCCATGGTGACAGTGCTAATTTACATTCTTACCCAGTGCTTACAAGCATTTATGGTTTCATTATCATTATAACTGGAGTGAAATGGACTCAATGTAGTTTTATTTTAGTTCTTTCATCTCTAAAGATTTTGAACCCACTTTTATGTGCTTCTTCATCATTTGTATGTACTTTTTGGGGAAGTATCTGTTCTGTACACACTTACCAACTGGGTGTTTTGTTCTGTTTTGTTTTGAATTGCTTTATTTTTTTTTAGATGGGGTCTTGCTATATAGCTCAGGCTAGCTTTCAACTCACTATGTAGCCTACACTAGCCTCAGACTCACAGCAATTCTCTTGTCTCGGCTTTCTGAGTGCTTGGATTACAGGCATGCACCACCACACCCAGTTTGATTCTTTCTCGGTATTATCTTTTTTTGAATTTTTATACATTTGAATATTAACCTTCTGTGATAAGAGTAGCTCACCAAAATTTTCTCCCAAGTTTAGTTGAATGTTACTCAAAGGTTTTGAAATCAATGCAATCTTCCTTGGGATTTTTTGCAGCTATTGCCTTAACACATTCAACTCATAGAAGAGGAGATCTTTGTGATGTTGGTATCACTAGATGATGCATAACTATTATGAGTTATTTTTTGTTACATACACACAGAAGTAGTGCAATTTCAGTGATATGTGATCCTAAATAAGATCATGCAGGTCACAAGTGTCTCACATCTGAAGTGCAACAACTTGAAGGTTTGTGGGATGAAACTTAGCCTGGTTGGGCTGCCTCCTGTCCCCCCACACCTCTGAACCCAGACTCCAGTGGCCACACGTGGGCTATCTCTGGCTATGAGCACCTGCATAGCTCTTCCAGTATCACACACTTCAGGAACCAAAAATATCACACATGTGACCCTGTAATGAACAACCACGGTAGAATGCAGAGAATTTAATGTTTTTCAAAGTAAGATTTCTAGTGGCTTCCCAAAATAAGTCTATTTGGGTAAATTGTCTTGCCATGGTGAAAGGAGAGAAGTTTGAGATATTTAGAGGAAATTTCTCATGCCTGAGAGTTTTCCAAAGTTGAGACCAAAGCCTATTACAAACCTGCTACAAAAAGACAAATCAGAAGAGTGTTTGCTGATAGAGGCATAAGTGATCCTTCCTGTCAAGCTTCTCTGGGCTGACTCACAGGATGCAACAATCCATGCCTGCCAGGAGAGGGACACTGGATTCCAAAGCTGGGCCAGACTGAAAGACCTGAGACTGCCTTGACTTCACAAGAGGTGATTCCTGAGCCTTGGAGAATACTGGATTGTAACTGGGTGCAGCCAGCGCTGTCCAGGTAAAGTGGAGAGTTGCAGGTTTTCTGGAACTGGCTGATAGCAGTGAATCCACATAGAGTTGGCAACTCTGAAGAGAGCTGGAAAGGAAAGGAGCTGGTGGTGAGAGGCACTCAGGTAGAGGCAGGGGCTGGTGTGGAAAAGCCAGGCAGAGAGGTAGGAGGTGGACTGAACTTTCTGCTGTCTCGGGGCAGGGCACGAGGTCTTCCTGAGAACCATCTCAGCCTCCTAAGCAGCAGACAGCACTGAAAGGGAGAATCCAGTCCCACTGGGGAGAAGGACTGAAACAGGAAAGTTAGTGCCCTGACTCCTGAATCTGTAGGATTATCCCTCTCCACTGCCCTGCTCTATTCTCTGCCAAATTGTTGGGCATCTCATGAAGGTTCTTGGCTTAGAGATGGCTAGAAATTCCTAAAGCACAGAGACTTAACTTTGAAAGGTGAAGTACAAATTTCTGGGACTGCTTGAAATAATGACACCTCCTAATGCTGAGATTCTCTACTGTGTGGCCAGCAAGCAACATTGGAGAGCTGAGCATTAAACACAATGGGCTGTAGCAATCCATGAGTAAGAGTATGGAATGAAGGTAAGGAAAGAGAGAGGGCTGGGGAAAAATAGGAAACCACAGCCAGAATGGCCAGAAGTGCAGCTTCATGCTAATTGGGGTTCAGGGAATAAATAGGACTTCAGGGACAGTCATTCTTCAGATCCATTTATTGTCACTGTGCAGTGGCCTGGGTTCATGGAATTATTTCTAATAGCTCAGTAAGGATGATGAGGCACAGAGGAGGCCAATCTTGTGCCTGCTGTTAGAATTGCTCCATGGTCTTCTTTATCCAAGGCAGAAAGTGGGAGACCTTCATGAAGATTCCTGGGAGATTGCCATCATTTTTTGCATGGCAGAAAATGACTTGGATCATGTGATTACACACGAGGGGAAGCCCAGAGTCCTCCTGTGGACAGAGAATGAACGCATGGAATATACCTCCTGTTGCTGCTTTTTGAAACTCACCACAGTGGATGATCTCTGTCAAGGGACTCTGAGGATGCAATCAGGGCAGGGTACCTCTGGCTCCCTCCTTCAGAACAGAGGCTCTACCATAACTCTGACTTTACTTTCCTGTATTAACCTACCTGAACCTTTTTGTGCAATCCTAGAGATACTCCAGTGGTGACACTGAATTTGGTGTACTGCTATTTCTCCACCCTCTACTCCTTTCTATCCATGGAATGGATTACACACTGCATTGCTGTAGAGGACAGGCCTTCAAGCTCTGGACTCAGAGCATGAGATACAGACACTATGATCTCCCCACCAAGTTCCTGTTTCCCTGGGTTCTCCAACTATAGGCAATGGAAACCTTACCTTGAAACCAGTCTTTGTTTTCCTTGGATCTCCCACAGAAATGTCAGTGAGAGTAGAGTAGGTGTGCATGAAAGATTGCCATTTTTGTTTGTCTTATACTGTTAGCTCCACCTCTTGCAGTGTGCTTGCTAAGGGACCCAGTGGGTTGATTTTTCTCCAGCCTGACACCACACATTTGTCTCCTGAATTCTCTTGGCTCATGGCCCCCTGAGGGGCTGCACAGCTTTAGTCTGCTTGACCTTTCTTTCCAGTTGATGGTGAATAATCAGGATAGTCTAAATTAGCCTCTAGCATAGACCCTATGCCTTCTGTACCTACATACTGAGATCACAATGAGGGCAAGGTGGAAAAGAGCAGGGACCCTCTGGGATCGACAACCCTGTAGGAGAAGAGAAAGAGCAGCAGGAAGATTTGCCTCACTTGCAGCAGCGTAATGTCATTGGAGAAGGTTTTAGGAGTTTGTTCTGGGTGTGGATTGGCTCTCTTCACACAGATTACCTGCTGGGTCTTCTCTTGTTTCTGGATGTTGTGGGCCCCCAGAATGACACTTATTGAGCTGCACAGAGAGGAGCATGGATTTAGGTTGTGAGACCACAGAGGAGCTATGCAAAGAAGGATTAAACCTGCTATGTGTGGTTGCTATGTCTTGTCACCTGTGTCATTTGTTCTGTACTCTCACTGTCTGATTTCACACTTACTTCTTTTATTTCTCAGCCTTTCCTTTTCCAAGTCTTCTTTCCTTCTTGAAGGCGATTGAGATGGAACACTTTTTCTTTCACTGAGCTAAATATTTCAGTCCTTTTAAATTTATTTTTATTTTTGAAACAGGATCTCAATAACTATTTAACTTATCATGACTAGACAGTAACATTTTTTGAATTTTATTCCTACATATGTGCAGTACACAAGGACTACATCCACTGTAAGAGTTTAGTACATGTTAATAACACATTCAGTTTCTTTCTTTTCTCCTCTTCCTTCATCTCCCTTTCATTTTTCCACTTTCAGAATCATTTATTTATCTTAGAAGGCTTGATATAGTTAATTATCATACATTCAGATACTGTGCTGAAACTTTTGATCTTCCTCCCTTTCCTGCTTTCTAATGACCTCTTATGGGTTTGTGAACCCCAGGAGTTCCTAAGACTGCAGTTCCTGTGGGAGACAGAAGTCCCTGTTGGTTTTTGGCAAATGTGGGCTGGTTGTCCCTCCTCACCTTACCTTGCAGTATGCAGCTGTCAGTACAAATCTCTTTTGCACCAGGACACCACCACACCTCTTCATCTTCTCTCCATCCAGGAACTGGACAAAGGCCATATAGGGATGGGAATGGGGCTTACCCTCCTGACCCCAGATGATCTCCTCTGAAAGAAAAGCTTAAGATGGGGTGGCTGGGAGCAGTGTGGTCAAGAAAGAAGACTGGGGAAATTAGGGGTGATGGTGAGACTTGGAATGCTCTGTACCCTGCAGGGGATACTCATCTTATGTCTGCAGGCTGCATGCCTCAAAGCCAGACTTTTTCTAAATCTCAAATGTCCTGAGAAAGTTAGGATAGTTCTGGCCTTTTCCTTCCTACCTTGGACAAATGCGTGGAAGTGGGATGACTGATGGTAGAGTTTCATAGGACACTGGGCAGCTGACTTCATTGTTGTTTTCTTACTGAAACTTACAAATCTGTTTAAACTTTTGTTGTTTTCTGGATTGGTGGCACTTTCTAACAATCTACTTATACAATTATGAATGTCGATTCTCCAAAATTGTGATGATCTAGGCCTAAAATATTTTGTGTTCTCAAGAGTTGTTTTAGGCTGTATATCTGATGTGTAATCAAAGTTTCCTCAGTGTTTGATGGGCCAGTGTAGTGTGGTGGCATAGAGGGCAATAAAATTTTAGGAGGAGGGAGTAGTACCCAAGGCAGGGGCCACAAGGAAAGCCAGCAAGGCTGAGGTAGGAAATATCATTAGAGTGAAGCTGAAAAAACCTAAGGTGGGGCCAGGGTAATGGAAAAGTGGATGCAATCATCATACCACCTCTGAGTCTAGCTGAACCCTTAGATTCTCTTCAGAGCTGGGACTGGGTGGTAGTCACTGGATAGTGCAACTGGGTCTGTGAAACCTGCCTCCCACAGGCTGCTGATCTAAGCTGCCTTGTTCTGGTTTTGAGTAACATAGTTTAATTACTTACTTTTGTTGCTTCATATTCACTGCTTTATGTGTTCTTGATTTTTGTTTTTTAAATGTTTTTCTGAGGACAACTCATTTCTGGATAATGCAGGAAATTCTGTGGAGAGGCTAACACATACTAAATCATTTGAGAACACCCTCTTTTGAAACCCTGGGATGTGTCCAGCCAGCTTTGGATTTGTGAGTCTGGGTTTGAATTGGATCTGTGGTTAGAAAACTCCTGGGTGAGAGCAAGGAGAAGGTTCCAGACCAAAGCTCACAAAAAAGTCAGTAGTGGAGAAGATTTTGTGGGATGAGCTCAGACCTCTGGAATAAGGATGGCCACTCACCTTTTCCATTCTCAAAGGCAGCAGAAAGGCCAGCAGGAGTAGAAGTGGTGTCATTTTGCCAGGAAGGCTGCCCAGGTCAGAGCAGACAGAGCCCCTGCAGCACCTTGAATGAGCCACAAGCCCTGTGACCTTGCTGATATCTTACATATGTGCTCCTCTGGTTTCAGTGGGTGTCTTCCTTCTAGGGAGTGTTATGAACATTATCTGAATTGGTTTAGGTGAATATGACACTGTCACCTCTAACCGCTCTGTGGCTGAGTCACAAGGCACAGCAAGAAGAAAGCTCAAGAGGTAGGGGTAGTGGTGCATGCAGCTAGTAGAAGGGCAGAGAATACAGAACCTGTCTAGAGTCTGAACTGAACCAAGCATGGCTCCTTTTCACAGCTCTTTTGTCTTTTCTCATTCTGTGAAGATTGTGAACAATTACTTAGCAGGCTAGAGCCAAGGAGGAAAGGTAGATGTGTCCTTCCATCAAAGACTGATAGTTGGCTAAAGTGGACTTAAAATCTGTGCTTAGAGAACAAGGTGGCAAATGTAGTGGTAAAGCTGACTTGGTAATATGGGATAAAACCAGACTCCTCCTAAGCACATATGAAAATGGACAGTATGTTATTCTGTTGAACAGTAACAGTTTCTTACTTAGCCACAATCATAGCCTCAGATTTTTGAAATGATTAGAATACCTTCTTTAAATATGAATAATGTCTTAGCTACTTATTACTTGTTGTGGAGACAAAATACTTGAAGCCCAAGTTGGGAAAGGAAAGGTTTATTTTTTACATTTTTTGGAGGTTTCAGTCCACACTCAGTTGGCTCCAAGGAAAGCAGGCATGGCTGGGCTGCAGTTCATGGAAGCTGCAAACAGCAAGCAGGAACCAGAAAAGAACACCTTCTTCCAGCCATTACATCACAACCTGGCTCCACCCCTGTATGAGTGAAGCACTGACACCATCAATCAAAGCACTAGACAGTGAACCATCAGAAGTGCACAAGGAAAACTCATGAGGCCTGGGGGCCACAGACATAAACCATGACAAATAGTCTGGAATTTTTCTTAAGAAGAAAATTTTAGGAAACATAATTCACTGTATCATAATAAATCATTGTTTACTCTGTTGCAATGAGTAAGGTATTTGCTTAGATGTTCATTATTTAGCATATCGTGATCCCAGAAAATAGTCTTCCTAATGCCCACCTCTGAATGCAAGAGCTTTTGTGTAGACATCCTTGATCTAAGGCCATTCCATCAGCAGTAGTTCTCACTTCTTGGCTTGTGAATACATACCTCCCATCTGTATCTATCATCACATGGTGAGACTCTGTGTGTCTTTATGTCCCAATTTCCCTTTTTTTTCAGGGGATGCCAGTCAACAGGAGCTTAGTCCTGCTTGAGACTCTCAGAGGATCTGTGTGGAATGAATGTTGGCACTCAGGTTTTGCAGTGCAGGAGCCTAGATCATTCCACTGCTGATTCTCATTGGGACTGGTTCAGTGTTGTCTGTGAATCTATTACCTTTTCCTCTTTTTAGGGTTGAGCCTGCTCTCTTGCTGGTCTCTGCTGGAGAAAATTCTTATGGCTTCAGGTAATGTGTTGAGTCACAAAAGTGAAAAGATGCTTGTGTGTCTGGAAATCTAAGGTGAATTTTAAGTCATAGGTGTCTGCAGGGATGAGTTCTAAGGGAAATAGCCTCTACTCAAAGTAATGTCTTTGATGACCCTTTTAATCCAACTCAGTCATGTTTGCATTAGGTAAACTTTTTTTAATCAACTCAGTGAAGACTTTTCTTTTTTTTGTGTGGTCACTTCCATGACCCATCACTCCTTCCTGAGTGCTTGCCTTGTTACGTATTTCAAGCTCATTAAAGATTGAACATTTTGCTCACTGACACTGAAGAAAGTGAAAGGCAAATTTCTTTGAAACCTTTGTTTCTTTTTGATTCTTTACTTCATAAATTATATTACCACAAGTATATATGACTTATTTGTTATGTTATTGATGGTTATGATCCTCATTCATCTGATTTAGGGATTGTGCATCCACCTAAGCTGGGTGCTTTTGTTTCTAGTCTGGATTATGTACTATGCTGGAAACAGCCTCCTAATGTCACCCTTTTGGGGTTGCATGCAAGTATGTGTGGTAGTTAGAGCATAGCACCTAGGCAAGCTCATTCTGCATCTCTGAAGATAGCAAGCAGGCACAGGTAACACTGTACAGTCCTTCATACTGGGTTGAATGAGGGGATCTGACTAAGGCCAGGGTTGAGATCATAGGGTCAGTGGTGAACAGTTATCCAGATCATAGGTTTTGGAATAATAATCTCTAGGAGTTAGACAATGGTCCTTGGCTGTAGGTTAGAGAACGCATTAAGTAATATACCAAAATGACCTATAGTTGTGGGAAGTGGGAGCTGAGAACTTTCCTACACTCCCCGTGAAGGAAGATGCTTTGGAGATGGCTGGCTGCTTGGGAATTCTCTTTCCACAGAGTTTACTGAACAGAGTTAGAAAAACACCTTGGATGGGAGATTCAAAACTTTTCCTTGGGTGGTTGTCAGATGGTCCTGAGGATCTGATGGAGACCTTTTCTCCTGGCTGAAAGACAACAGAAACAAATATTAGGAGGTCAGGGCCCATCTCTGGTTTGTGGGGCTAACTGGTTGTGTGAAAGTACTTTAAATTAGCTTTTTATATTTTGATTAATCACAACAGACTTATGACACTTTCTATGCTCATGTATGCTAGCCATAAAAGGTATGCATATAAATAAATACAATGAAAAATTTGCATATTAGTTTTGTGTATTTTTGAAATGCATATTTTTTTCTCTTGTCATTCTGTTCTTAGGTGTTATACAAAAAGTAGAGTTATTCTTATGCTTGTGCCTCATCAGTTTGTTTTCAGAATCAGAAGCAGAGCTGTGTGCTGACTGGCAATCTGTTTTCCTTGTTTATATACTCACCACAGAGTTCTTTCGAAGCCAAGGTATGAAGGGATATTTCTTTGGGGACCATAATTACAGAGATAAATAATTTGACCAGCCTTAAATAATGCAATGATGAGGAAGAGATACATGTTGACTCATGACTGAAACCCACACTTTTTCTGCAGCAAAGCCCAGATTGGCTAAGACCTCTGAGGAGTAATGGCTCTTTGGCTACCTAAAGAGGCCAGTGCAGCACACTGCGATCTAATCAGGCTGAGCACTATACCTTGAGATTAGAGGATGTTTTCGGTTTGTGCAAACTTCCCTAATTTTGTTCACTATTGGATGTGGCCAGGCTTGTTACTAGTGTAACATGCATTAAATTTGACACCAGCCCAGGACTAGTAATCGATCCAAGAGATTGCTCCAACTTTTCATGTCCAAGTTTGTGCACCAAGGCATATGTGTCAGATCAAAACCTCCTTGCTTATGCTGTCTGTCCTCCTCATCTTCCACCTGTTCCTGCTGAGCTCTGACTTGTTCATTATAGACCCCTAAGCTGCTGTTGTTAGGTCTGCTCTGCTAATGGACTTGAAAACTGTGGCACATGGCAGTATTTGTGGCACGTACACTTCAAGTAAATATTATCTTCAGAGCAAGACTAGTTTGGTGTTTGTGGCTTTCAAGCCCAGATATAAACCAACAATCTCACACAAGGAAAGTGGCATATAAAATGACAGAACCCACAGAAATTACATAACAGGCTGTTTTTCTGTGCATCTACTGCCTAACACACAGTATTCACCTGAAAATAATTCATTTTTTAGTGGATGAGAGAATGCTGCTTTCTAGTCCTGTTGTAGATGTGGTCACTCTCACTTAAGTGATCATTACAGGCTGGATAATCAATCATGGAGTTCCAACTCAGAGACCTTGCTGTTAGCAATGACTAAAAAGGACAGGCTGAAATGAATCAGGATGCTGAGTGTCCTCTCAGAGGGTGGGCTCTGAGCTTAGGAGCAACACCTGTGTTTCTGAGAACAGACAGTGCCTTGCTTAGTGGAATGCTCTGGCCTAGCTTTCTTTGGATATGTCCTGCCAGTTTTGTCCTCTATAGATAGGGTAGAAAATAAGCCAGTAGCCAAAGTGACCTAAGAAAAATAATACTGAAATAAGTCTGTTAGGAATCTCATGAAACCTTTGAGGTTGTGGACAGTGAAAGATGGAAGAACAATATCCCAGGCAAGACCAAGACTGAAGCTTCTGCCTGAGGCCAACGGTCCCTGGCTTCAAGAGGATGTGCTGCTAGGAGAGGAGAGCATTCTCCATGCTTTGGACCTAAATAGAACAGGCTGTCATTGGCACTTAAACTCTTTCTATGAATCCTATGCTAGTGTTTCTCCAAAGGACTAGAGTTCAGGGTGCTAAGTAGTTGCTTGAATTTCCATTTTTATTGCTGCATTATTAATAATAGTATAGTGTCAACTTGCGTCTATCAATGTTTGAATAAAGAAAATGTGATATGTATTTTTAGTTCAATATATATATATATATATATATATATATAATTTTTTTTTTAGCTAAACCAAATAAAAAAAGAGATCTTGTCATTTGCAGCAGCCTGGATGAACCAGGGTCTATTGTGTCAAGCGAAATTAGCCAGGCACAGAAGAACAAATATAAATTGTTACTTATGTGGGAAATTAAAAACCACTGTAGTTGTAGATATAGAGTATAACAGTAGTTATCACAGGCTAGGGATTTAGGAGCATTTGGAGATGTTGGTCAGAGGGTGCAAAGTTTTAGCTAGACAAGAGAAATAAGATATTTGATATCTATTGTACATGACACTGATCATACTTAGTAGTGTGTATACATCACACTAATCATATAGTACTGTATATTTCAGAATTGCTAAGAGCAAATTTCAGATGCTCTGAGCATAAAAAATCATAATTATTAAACTATTGGCTATGTTGATCAGCCTTTGTTAATCATTCCAAATTGTATATAAATACCATAACATCTCTTAGAACACTATAAATAGCTTCAAGAAAAGAAGTTTTTTTGAAATAATTTTTAAGTATCATTTGATTGAGTAAATCCTGGCATGGGAAAAATAGTACTTGATGAAAGCAATGGGAATTAATATATATTCATTTCTTACTGTGCATTAGAGGATATACCAGCTATTATAGATATGTTATATAAAACTCCAGCGTGGGAGATACCTGTTACTAACTACATGTGCTGATAAAAGGGGATAA